TCACATATGGCTTAGTAAGAATCTGACAAGTCTCCTTTTCAAAGGGGAGTGCTGCCCAAATTTTTGCTAATTCAGGGAGTCGGACAAAATTGGACTTTGGAAAATCAAAGACTATTTCTGTTTTCATATTTGGGCTTATATAAATTTTGAAAAGATATTTTTCCTACGGGAAGCGCTACCGAAATTTTCTTGATTTGGAAGAGATAGATTATATTTTGACAGGTGGCGATTCTGGCAATCCACTCTATACAGGGGAGATTATGCCAGGATCTACCTTTGCTTTAGACGCTGCTTAAAAACAGACTCAGGCCTAGTGAGCTAGGATGATTTGAGTGAGAATGTGTTATGGAGTTGTATTCTCCATACACTTATGACTTTAGCCTGGGGATTGACCTGTCATGTGTTACAGGTCCTCTTGACCATTTGATTCATGACTTGGACTAGATTCAGCTTGATCCTACGAGGGTCATCTTCTGTTATCACTAATAACAGGTCGGTTGCCGATTCGTCGTTTTACGATTCAACTCCAATTCACTCCTGCCACTCAACCTAAAGGCTTTAGCCTTGAGATTTGAATTTGTTTTGTTGTATTTTTTTACCCGGACTTTATTGAATGGCCATCCAACAAAAGTACTGAGTATTTATTTAAGAGTTGCACGAGTGAGGCTTGTATGGCTAAAACGAGGGGTATGAGTGCGAGGAATGGTTGGGGTTGCCGTGTAGTGCGTGGACTTCTGGTTGAACCTTTGATGTGATTGCAGGTATGGTTGTGGTTCTGCTTCGACATGTGACTGCCTGTGATTACATACTTATATGGTTGAGAGGAGCCCCACTGTGACTGTGAGAAGTGATCGTCCTATATAAATAAGCCTTGTATATATATACTTCTATGTGCCTTGGGTATGCGCGTGGCTTACCGAGATCGTGCGCAGGGGTTAGCCAAATTATGGCTTGAGAGAAAAGGGAGACCCCCTGTTGTCCTTTGCTTTTTGGTATTTTTATAGTTGGACGTTGTAGTTCGTGGTAGCCGTCAAAGTCAAACCCCTTGACTTTTGCCCAGACCCGGAGTAGGACTTACCCCCAGGGCCGCAAGAAGCGACTGTCACCGCAGGTATGAACCTGTGTACCACCCACTGTGCACAGAGTGCAGAAAAGGGTGTGTGGTCTTCAACCGCGCATAGCGGTTGTCCAACGTCGAGAGATTAACCCTCAAGGCGCGTGTCAGCCGACACTTGAGTGTCGAATGGGACCCTCAAGATTAACGAGGACCCCGCGAGTATGGGTACTACATAGTACGCCATCGCTGCGACCGCTTGCGTACGCTTGCATTGCGAGTCGACATGAGTTAGCCCTGCATCCGCGCAGTTTTACACCAAGTCTCGCGCGCGACGCCTATTCGATCTCCGCATCGGAAAGTTATGGGTTGGCTACCGAGGGACTAAGAGCGTTGTCGAGTTGTTTGTGTTGTGTCGTGTTGTACGTGCGTGTGTGGGTTTTATTTTTGTGTTTGTAAAGTGGTGTGCGCGTGGTGTGTGGGATGCGTCCTAGTCGACCGACGACGAGTCGCGCTTGGGACCTCAGCCCCCCAAGATGTCGGTTCGCGTGCGGGTCCGATAGGCGTATTACCGCACGTATTCCCTATGCTACAGCGAACGAGAAACGCCCTCGGCTGGTCCACCTCTGCGATTGCAACCGAGTAGCTCGGCGGGGATACGCCCACCGAAGGGAGGTGACAACTCCCGTAAGGTGGAGGTAAGCTGTGCCTCGCGTAGGCCCTATCCTGTCGTAGGGGCTCGCGAGAGGTAGGGCTGGCGCACTCGGCCGGAGCGGCCTAAGGAAGCTCCATTTGTGCGTTCGTGTCGAGGTTGGTCCAACTCCTGCGTGACGGGGCCGAGAGGGTCCCGCGCTGCCATGTGCGGCGCCGCACCGATGCGCCTGACAGCGTCGTAGAGAAGTACTATATCTCCCACGATTATCTTTTCCTTTCTGACTCTGACATCTTTATCCCATCTTAGTTTGCCTTGAATACGTTTTGGACTTCGTCGGCCAGGAATTCCGCTCCTCTATCCATCACAATCTTACTGATGCATGCATATCTAGACAGATACTCCAGAACAAAGTTCTTTACTTCTCTAGATGCCTTAGTCCTAATAGGTTTTCCGTCGACGAACCCGGTGAAATCGTCTCTGATGTTCACGACATAATTCATATTGCCTACGCCCTTCAGCATCTTCACTAGATCAATGTGTACCTTTCCACCCGGTCTAGTGGGATAGGAAGGATGAAGTGGCTCCTTGTATCTGACTAGGGATCTCTTCTGACACTCCTCACATGTCGCACAATTCTTCTCCACGTCCTTGTACTGACCTTCCCACCAGTATAGTCTTCGGACCTTCTCATATGTCCCTTTTACTCCTTTATGTCTACATACCACACCGTCATGTAGTTCCTTGACTATGGACTGCTTCTCTTCCGGGTCACAGATCACTCTTAAAGGCATTCCTGACCCCGTAGGTCTGTGGAACAAATGCCCAGATCTAAGGCAGTACTGTGCTGCCTGTCCTACGAATCCTCCTAGGCGGCGGCCATCCCCGGACAAGTCCGCGGGCGCGGCCTAGGCCGCGACCCCGCGGACATGGAAAAAAAAATAAATAAATAAATGAATTCGAACAATTCTGAAAAAAAAAAATGTTATGTAAAATAATATATTGAACAATTTTTGCCTTGTGGTCATATCAAAAAACGTTACTGAATTTAAAATAAAAAATCACATACGTTTCATGGTTTTTGTTTGGGAAAAAAAAAACAAACAGCTTTTGCCTTAGGAAAATTAGTTTTTGAATTTTTAAAATTCGAAGACGAAGTCAAAAAATAAAATAAAACATTGTGCAATTTAAATCTCGAAAAGATCTACAACTCTATATTTTTTTTATTATTTTTTTTGATAAAGTTTTAAGGTCACAAAAAATTCCTGAAAGTCACGGTTGCACCCAACCGAGGCCGGAGCCGCGGTGGCCGTGATCACGTCCGCCCTCCGAGCTTGAAGTACCAGTCTCATAATCTCCAAATCAGAACTCTCCTCTCATGACAGATGCAGCCCTATAGTCCGGTACTTTCCGTCATAAAGGTTAACTAGGAATCGATCAGTCCGTCTAGGCTAAGTCATAGTCAGTGTGGCGGTCACTATTGGTCGCTCTGCCTCGATCGGAATTCGCGAAAGTCCATCTACTACCGCATTCTTTCGTTCTCGATATTCTTTCCACGGTATAATCGTAGAGTCTGACCCTGATTAACCATCGAGCGATAGTGGGATCGGTCAGACTAAAGTATTTTTGTAAGACCGATGCCACGACCGTAAGATTTACGCGTAAAATAAATCGTCTTCCGTATATGTAGTACCTAAAAGCGTTTAAACACCGTAGGACATCTAATACCTCCTTCTTGAATTGACTATAGTTGCGCTCAGCGGTGTTGAGCGTACGACTCTCGAACCTTAGTGGCCTCTCCTTACTGTCGGCGTCCTTCTGAGAAAGTAGCCCTCCAACTGAACATGGTCTAGCGTCCGTAGACACTATGAAGGGTCTGTTGGTCTCGTCCTCGAAGAATGGTACTCCCAGGATTCGTCCTCCTTCTTTAAATTCTTCCTTGAGGGTTTGTACCGCAAGCTCCTGAGGAGTATCCCAGTAAAACCGCTCCGTTTTCCTAAGCAGAGTCCACAGAGTGTTTGCCTTCTCTGCGTATCACGTATGAAGATCCTCTAGTAGCCCACAACTCCTAAGAATTGGCGGACTTCGGTAGCGCTATGCAATGGAGTTGGCTAGTTCAAGAGTTTATCATCTAACTTTGCCGGATCCGGTCGGCAACCTCTCGAATCACATATAAACCCTAAAATCTTAATCGTCGAGACTGCCCACCGGTTCTTCGTTCCAGTGACCGTCAGGTTAGCCTCATCCAACTGTTCCAGGACTACGTAGATATCCATTAGGTGTTGCTCTACAAATTTCCTGATGCTAGGAGCAACCTCCGTCTCATCTTTCAATACTGACCCTTTTATCGGAACGTCGTGTAGAAAGGTTTCAACTTTATCATGTATGAAGTCTTTCAGAACAACAACCATAGCTCTCTGGAAGACAGCAACCCCATTGGTCCACCCCATGGGCACAACTATCATCTACACTAGCCCAAGCGGTGTGTGCATGACAGTGAGGTGCCTATCCCTAGGGTCTAGGGGTATCTCATCATATCCTGAAAATAAATCGCAGACGGAGTAAATAGATCTGCCTACTGCTTCTTCCGCTAATAGATCAGCCACATTTCAAATTGTAACTGCATTAACCTTTTAAAGGTCCTTAATCCACCGGATCTTCCCATTAGGCTTCCTTAAGAAGAACCACCTATTCGCGTATGCGCTATCAGACGGTTCCGCCATATGCGACGCCATCTTCTCCTTTAGAAAAACGATTACTTCTTCCTTCTCTTTCTGTGCAAACTTTCATCCTGCATCATTCCATGGAGTATGCGGGATCATGTAGATCCTGGCCAGTTTGGCATACCTAGGATCAATCCTTCCTCTTTCCGCATCACTAAAAGCTATAGCTTTGTCATAGGTCTTAAGAACTTCTAGCACGCGCCCCTTCTCTTGTTCAGTCAAATTCCCATCTCCTATATTCATCTCCGCTATCCTTTCTTCTGTTAGCCGTTGCAGCTCTTGCTTCTTCCTTTCCTTAATCTTCCTAGCGATCTCTTCTTCAGATACCTCGTCTACTGCGAATCGCTCTCGAGCTACCGCCGCCGGCTTAACTTTCTGAGCGGTCGCCCCCCGTAGGGGGCTGTGCCCTTAAAAAAAAACACAGAGATCATACCCCCAAATTCCTCATCTTCAGCCTTAGGATAGGAGTTTCCTCCCATAAGAACCGTATTACCTAAGTCCTCGACTTCCACTATCCGTCATTCTTCTTCCGTAAGTAATGACTCATACTTCTTTTCGCGAAAGCACAAAGAGCGACTAGCGAGCGTAACCGGCTTGCGGCCCCCCGCTGCTAGAGCCGCTCTGTTTCTCGGATCTCGTGGCTCACACGCAACCCTTCGACCTCAATCGCGGCCTTGTGGCAGACCCCGGACATCTTCTGTTTTCTTCCATCAGCAGTCTCTATCTTGAATACGTAAGACCTGTCGAGGTCCAGCCCTAATCGCACCGCGAGCTCCTCATCTATGATGACAACTTCGCTACCATTATCAATCACGGCATGGAGGACTACCTCATTATTGAGAATAGTCTCTACTGTCCCACTCCCTAGAATGTAAAACTTGTTAGGAGGCACACCTTTTATTCCATCTAAATACACTGTTGCTGCGCGTTCTGCCTTTGCGCACACTCCCGACAATGCCACAGAGGGTACCTCTGGTTTGAAAGTCATCTGGACTTCGTCCCCCAGAGGAATGCTCGTCTTGCTCGTGATGATCTGTAGCTCATCTCGCGCAGGTCTCGAAGCCGCCAAATACTCAAGTATCGTGCACTGCATTGGTTGCCTAAGCGTGCGCCTGAGAGGCTCAACTGTATCGATATCGTCCAATGTACTCTTCATAGTAAACTTTCGGGCCCTGCGCTTGCGCGACGTGAGTATGACTTCCTTTCCTTCAATCCTCTGCCCATCCTTCTCTGCCATCACATAATCAGTGTCAGTCTTCTTAGAGGACGATACCCTTGCGGACTTAGTCGCCGCTACCCGTATAGGTGTCGTCGGCGTTCCGTCATCTGAAGGCAAACTCAATCGCACACTCTGGCTCGTCGCCACTTCCTTACCCTTACTTGGTCGTACACGCCTGGCTTCAACGTTCTCCTTCATCGAAGGGAACATCGATACATCTCCGAGGTCATCAGCCCACTTGACGTACTTGCGATCATCGAGTACGACGAGTCCTTCATCTATTGCCCGCCTGAGGTCAGGACAATCCCTCTTCACGTGATCATCTTCCCTACAATAGATGTAGGAATTCCTTGGAGTAGGGGGTCTCTCGTCCGTGCCCCTAATAGCTGGTCCTCTCGCAGGTCTAACATCTTGGGTGGACGGCCCCGGAGAAGTCGGATAGTTAGGAGACTTTGGGTACCCAGGCGACGCAGTGTATCCTCCTCGATCGCGTGAGTCATCCCGACGACCTCCACCTTGCTTTGTCCTCTCGTATCCACCACGATATCCATCACGACGGTCCCTGTCTGATTCCCATCTGTCGCGGAAGTCATCTCTGTCCCTCGAGTTAAAATTGTCTGGGCTCCGGTACCCGTCCATGTTCCCTCCATATCTGGGACTGCGTTGATATTGTTTCAGTCTTCCTCCTCGGTTGTAAGCGTTTGTTCCACGATACCCTTCACCTCGGCGATCTCTGTCAATGTCGTTATCTCTACGCCGCCAAGCATCGTCGTCTGTCTCTCTCGCGTGATAGTCTGTCAGCGTGCGAGGGTTCCTCTCCTCGATGCTCCTCCACGAGTCAGTGTTCCTACGCTCCCAGCGCAAAGAAAAGGGGGACCGAGGCTTGTCCCGATATGTAGTTGCTCCTGCCTTCATCTCGATATTGGCCATCTGTCTGGCCATTCCCTTCATCATCTCTCTCATCTCTCTCACCTTATCTATCACTGTCTCTTTGTCCCTGGAACGTTGTGGTCTGTCCCTATCCATCAAATATCGTCGCTCTGCCCAAGGCAGGTCGTTAAAGTCTAGGCACCTATCCGTCCCGTACTCCCTAGAGGGAGAAATCCCGACGCTGCATACCCCTCCAGACTAAATCCTTGTAGTCATCGGCCTACGCCTTCATCATCAACTTGAGTACCGTCGCAAAATCTAACTTGTCGTGAGGCATGTCTCTCAGTACTTCCTTCTGCTTCCCTTTGGGCAGTCGGTCGATGAAGATCGTGCACCTCTCGACCTCCGACAACTTCCCTTTGGCAATAAGGGCGTCGGATATCTTCTGGAATCGCCTTCCAAAGGCCCGGACACTCTCATCCTCACCCTGAGTCATCAGCTCCAAGTCTCGGATCGAATACTTGACATCTTCTAGCTTGAAAAGGTCGTAGAGACTGGCCTTGTACATAGTCCAGCGTCTATCTTTTGGTCAGGCTTCTTTAATCACTTGACTCAAACTTGGGTCGGTGTTAAATAAGAAGTTATCTATGATTTTATCCTCCGACCATTGAGTACGGTATGCGTGCAACTCCCACTTCTCAAGATACTTAGTGATGCTATATCCCTTGAAAATGGGGGGTCTGGTGTCTAACTCCGAAGGTTGGTGTGAGATGATGAACCTGTCTCTCGTCTCGTAGGGTAGGGAGTGCGACTCGCCTGTCTGAGGGTCGTAAATTCGCTTGGGCGGTGCGGCCCTCTCTCTGTCTCTCTAGAGCTGCTCCCTAATGTACTGGTCCCTCCAGTCATCTCTTCTTCGGTCACCTCTATCGTCTCTTCGTTCATACGTAGGTGAACGTCCAATAACTGACTCTCATCGAAAACTCGGAGGTTCGGTTCGACTCTTCATCCGCACCACCGTAGCGACCTTGCTTGGCTCTGTGGCGACCGGATAGGCCATTACCTCCGGCTCTCCGTCGTCGGGTTGCTCTACATACCTCAAAGGGGCGTTCTGCCTGATACACTCTTTGAGGTCTCGCAGAGCACGATCCGGTGATGCTCAGTATGCAACGGTCTGTTGTTCCTCATTTAGATGTAGTCCCATCGTGTCAGACTCCATACACTTTACTCCCCTTTTTGGCTTGAGCCTATATCGGGGGTCTACTGTCCTCACCCCTCGAACAGGCAGCCCGGACCTAATGTCAGAACCGGTCCTGTCGATCTCTAAATGCCTAAATCTAACTCTCGACTCCCCTCAATATCGCCACCAGTCTTCCGGTGTCGTCTCGGATCCCGTGTGTCCCTTCGACACCTACTATCCCAGTGTCGAGGAAAAGTCGTCCATCCTGTCCTTCTATGCAGGCGACACCTCTCCTGACCTCTAACACTCCTGTCTCCGGACTCTTGACTCCCCTACAAATCGCAGTCCCTATAGCGCGTAACTCCTCGTGAGTACAAGCTCGCAGTCGCGTTTGTAAATCGAAAGTTGTCCTCATCTCCTGATCGCCCAATCCCTGCCGTACGGTGTTGGCTCCTACCATCGGGTACTCACCTCCTCTTGCCATCAACCTTCTTATGTCGTAAGGCGAGTTCAATCATAGTCCCTAAGTTTCTCTTCTGCGCAATCTGACACGGAGTTGGGGGTTTAGGAAGCCCTCCAAGATCGTTATCCGCGTGCTCCAGTTAACGCTTCTCCCTAACGATAGTAATCTATCTCTTGCGGCTTCTACAATCTCTTCTGCTCGTTCCCAACATCGGTCGTACACAAGATCTATTCCTTTCTCCGCAGGTAGGTAGATCCTCACATCATATACGTCTAAATGGATAAACCTGACAGTCATCACATATAAACGTATCTCCTCCCATCCGCTATCCACAAACTCGTACCTCTCTACCTCATATGGAATCGCTTCTCTCCTCTAGGGAAATCAAAAGTCCACAGATAGTCTCTAGTCTCTCCTCGGATGGTATGTTTCCAGCAAGAAATCTTTCTCTTCTTGACTGCAATTCGCAATCAGAGATAACTCTCCCTTCACTCATTCCTTCATCCTATGCGTTCTTTACCGTCTTCATGTGGTCACCCTTCGTCCTGACTGTCGTGGCGAAGTCTACTGTCGGCTCCTATCCATTCTGCTCCAGTCCTCTATACGGGATCGGCGGCCTAGGCAGACCGTCAAAAATCGAGATATCGTCGCAGACCTCGACAATCTTTCCCAAGTCCTCTAATCTCTTTCTCTCTTCCCTCAGCTTCCACTCGCTTATCCTCCAACACCACGTATAGACACAAAACTCCTCTTGCTCTCTACGTAAATATATACCTACGTGCTACATTCCGAAGTCGGAAAAGTATACGGTCATTAAACAGGCATTTCGTCAAAACGGACATATTATATGTTTTGAACGAAATCAAAACTGACTTTTTTTGCCAAAATCCGGTCGGAATTTTTTGCTCCTGCAGAACGCCGGACCCCTTACATGTATATGGTCCATGGTTGAGACCAGATACCAAAAAAAAAAAAAAAAAAAAAAAAAAAAAAATTGAATCTGGTCTCAACCATTAAAAAAAAAAAAAAAAAAAAAAAAAAAAAAATTGTATCTGGTCTCAACCATTAACCAGATACATGTAGGGGGTCCGGCGTTCTGGGACTCCCAGGAGCAAAAAAATCTGATCGGATTTTGGCAAAAAAAGTCAGTTTTGATTTCATTCAAAAAAAATAATATGTCCGTTTTAACGAAATGGCTGTTATTACATAAAACAGATTCCTATTCTGACCGTTGTTTGCCTAAGGAAAGATTTCCCGTCTGCTAATAGCGCTTAAATCTTGAAGGACTTTTTCGTGCTTAAGTTTACTGGGTCCGCTCCATCCTGAAAACTTCCGCCTCCATCGCGCTAACTCCACCTCCGGTAGTGACATCTCGCATCCGTCTTCATGAACCACCAAACATTCCATTAAGACTAACGCTAAAGCCACCAGGACTCTGTCCGTAGAATACTCCAAGAATTCGTAGAATGTCTCGAAATCGTCTATATCTCCAAAATCTTCAATATCTGCTAAGGTCTTAAGGTACTCGCTCCAGTATTGGTTGTGTGCTTTGAACATTCTGAGAATGGAACTCTCTACTATGATCTTTGCTAAATCTTCAACCACTTCCGCCTCACTTTCTAGGAGTTTCTCAGCCTCTCTAGGGGTCTCGTGCCACGCCCTACTCAAGGGCCACTCATTGAAGGGAGACACGTACAACGAGTAGTTGATCAGACACGCGCTTCCCTCTCCTACCCGAGTCCGGTCACTTGCGCTTTCTGCACAGCTCGACGAGTACATTCCACTTCTTCAATTACGATGAGTCTTTCCAGGTGAACCAATTGCATCACTACACAAGCGACTGGTCCATCCGACCTCCCTACAATACGCATAGAGTACTTTTCAAAGCTCATCGTCTCCCTTCATTGCCCGACGTCCCTTCAACATTTGTTTTTTCCTTCGATGTTGCAGCCTATGACAACTCCTCTTTCCTCCCCGTCGACTCAAGTGACCCCTCCTGTTCCCGACTACTATGATCTCTCCCCTTTACGCTCTCCAGAAAATCTAGACGCCATCTTCCGAAGAATTCTCTATCCTCTCTAAAAAGTCTCTCTAATGCCCTCGTCGATGCTTCTATCCTACGCAACTCCCTCTCACTCTTGCTAGGCCCACAATCTTGAATCTTGATGCCGGGTTCCTTAACTTGTTTTACCACCGGTTTTATAATTTGATCTTCGACTCTCTTTATTCTCTCATCTAGATCTGTCATCGTCTACGACCCATCTCTCTCCAAGCCCCAAGCACCTTTCAGATCTTACTCCGAGCTTCAGCTACCGACTCGTCAAAGAACAATTCCGCACGCAGTTACCCAACCGACCATACCATCACTTTGTACGTTATCTCTGTCTGGAAAGTCACACACGCGAGGACTCCTGGTCGGTATTCACGAATGAATTCTCTGGCTTGTAGAAAATACTCGTGCTCTGCCACGTCCTCGTCTATGTGTGCTCTGAGTAAGACAGTCACCGTGTAACCTTTATTCACTAATTGTCTGCTCACATTAACCCCCGTAGTCGCCCGTCAGTGCATGCCTCCTATCGCTAGCCCTCGAATAGATACCTCAGCTCCTCCAAGCCAACGTACCTGTCCTCTACGCGTCTATGACAATAGTAGATCAGATCGGCAGGCCTCAGACAATCTACCCAACAAGTAGCGTCGATCAGGTCTCTCAACGTCTCCTCATCTGGAGGTCCCCACCTCACGCAGATCGCGTAGTATGCCTCCCGAAATTAAGGCCACGAACTTCCCCAACCAACGGGGTTGCACGGGCTGATTGGTCAAAACACTAATTAGTCTGTTTCTTGATTAGTTTTTATTTTTTGATATTTTTTTATTTAGTTTCTTTGAAATATCTCTGGATCCGCGCGTTTTTTGGGCGAGCCGCACCATGGTCAAAGTTCGTCCTCTCGGCGAGGCGAACATTTTGAGACCTCTTTCGGTAAAATCTAACAGCTAGATTTTTTGGAAAATAATTTTCTTTATTTTTTATAATTATTAATTCGTAATTTGTCATTTTCCCTTTTCATTATTTACAAAAATTTGGGGAAAGCCCCTTGAACCAAAGTTGTCCAGAAAAAAATTCCCGACATTTTGAGATTTTAATCGGAAAAAACAGACTCCGTTTGTGGAAACGACAAACTCCAACAGATAAGAAAAAGGAAAGAAATTAAGGGGATTTTTTTTTTTTGTAATTTAATTAAAATTAAAAGGAAAAGAAATAAAGGAAAGTAATCCAATGAGTTTTTTTCTATAAACCTAGTAGAACCTAGCGGAAAATTTCGTACGTCAATACGGGGTTTCTGGTGAGCGTGCAGTCGCACGCAAGATCCTAAAACCCTAATTAGGAAAACCCTAATTAGGGAAAACCCTAATTATGTTAAACCCTAATTAGGACTTTAGGAGACGAGAGCAACCCCTAATATTATATTAAAACCAGAATCTAGAAGGCGCTCACAAACACCTTCAATTTTGTACTTTTCGGTATTTTTTATTTATTTT